TCACACTGCGTGATTGTCACTCGCGTGAACGAGCACCGATTTGCCTCCGATTTCGGGCATTTGTCGGCGATTTCGCAACACCTGTCGGCGAGTGAAAAATCGGGCTAAAATCGTGCAGTGTGAACTCGGCATTATTTGTGAATCTGTCTTTGTTGGCTGGAATAATAGTTCTGCCCAGACGATAATGCGGAGCCATATAGTTAATAAATCTGCAAATTCTTTTAGGAAATCTGTATATGGCCCTGGTGGTCTATACACAGTAGCCAGAGCAAGAGATACGATAGATTTATTTTGCATACCTTACAGTGTAACATTGAGTAGAAGTATTTCAAATGAGTTAAACCTGTATCCTGTCTTCTGAGTAACATTGAGAATATCACTATATATTGTTGCAACACCGCCGCCACGACCAGTCTGACGGGGCTCATGCTTATAACAGTAGCTTGGTGGAGTAGACTAATTTAGACCAATCAGCCGTTTTCAAAATTGTGTATATATAAATAATTTGTAATAAGTATATCTTTACTGTCACTTAAATCAATTTAATGCAACCTTGTTGAATAAAAGTATTATTATTATTATTATTATTTTAAATCTTACTCTAGAATGAATGGTGTGTTCAGTATCACATTTTCCACAAAAATATGAAGCAGCACAACTGTGTTCAACAGTGATAATTAATCATGAATGTTTTTCGAGCAATTCTGCATATTAGAATGATTTCTGAAGATCATGTGACACTGAAGACTGGAGTAATGATGCTGAAAATTCAGCAGAGCATTGTTATATGGACTGATATTATGGTATAGGCATTTAACTTTAGTGATATTAAACTGTCCCTCTAAGAGATTTGTAAAAAATATTATTTACAAATTGCCATATACACCAGGAAAGACAAATTATAATGTAAAGTAGTATGACGGTCATTCATTAATGTTAATGATAATAATTAAAAATATATATTTCTGTATTGTGTTGTATTTGTATGTTAGTAAGTGGTGTTAAAAATAGCTCTAATGAGCTGGTGGGTTTATGGTGTGGTGGGCCGCTCTGTGCCAAAAAGTCCAGGGCCACTTTTTAGCTCCAGTCAGCCCCTGGATAAAGCGTATGCTAAATGACTAATTGGAAATGGAAATGTAACGTTCTCTATTCTTTTTCTATTCTATTATTATAAAAAAGAGACTCTCTAGCACTAATCTTCTCTAATCTTTTTCTCGTCTATTTACTTGTTTTCTTTTTATCTATTATATAAAAAAAAACTTGCTACGTGTACTGTGTTAGGCTAACTGAGACTTATCACAGCACTTGCATATTATTGCTCTTTTGTTGGTTTTGATTGCTTCTATTGTCCTATGTCGCTTTGAATAAAAGCATCTGCTAAATTCCTAAATGTACATAGAAATTCAAATAGAAACATCAGTTCTGCTTTAGAGAACCTGTCAACAATAACCAAGATGCATGCATTGGAGGGAGGTTGGCAACAAATTTATAAATATTTCATGTTAAAAAACTAGTAACATTCTGTACTCATCTGTCCACAAGAAAAATAAATAAATCATGTGAAAATAAATCAAATATTTCATGTTAAAAAACTAGTAACATTCTGTACTCATCTGTCGACAAGAAAAATAAATAAATCATGTGAAAATAAATCAAGTGACGTGACATGTGGCCAAGTCTGGTGACCCATACTTGGAATTTGTGCTCTGCATTTCACCCATCCAAGTGCACACACACAGCAGTGAACACACACCTGGAGGAGTGGGCAGTCATTTTTGCTGCGGCGTCCAGGAAGCAGTTGGGGGTTCGGTGCCTTGCTCAAGCGTCTCACCTTAGTCATGGTATTGAGGGTGGAAGAGAGCGCTGGTCATTCACTCCCCCCACCGACAATCTTTGCAAAACATTTCTTCACGGTCACTCTGAGAAAACATCTCAGATGGCCCTCCACCAGAGGAGGAATACAGGTGGATGGAGACACATCACAGAGTAATCTTTTTCTGTTGAATGAATAATGAATCAAAGCTATCATACCCGAATGCATGTTAAACGCTACACATGCTGAGATGGAGTTTGCAGCATTTACAGTGAACTGAGTTGCTGAGAACACTGGATCATTAGCTGCTCACATGTAAATGAACACAGTGCTGCGCTTAATGTGACTATGCAGCGCATACATCTTGGCATTAATGAAAGAGCATCACCTGCATCTTAACCTGGCAAAGAGGGAGCTTCTCATATTCCCAGCCACCCCATCCGTACAGCACCAGTTTACCATCCAGCAAGGTTCATCAATGATAATCCCATCGAGTTTAGCCAGGAATCTTGGGATTATCAAGATGATGATCAGCTGATCTTTAAAAATCATATTTACAAAACAGCACAATCATACAGGTTCTCTCTGCACAACATTAGAAAGATAGGGCCCTTTCTAAAAGAACATGATGCCCTCATCATTTCGAGGCTGGACTATTGCAATAATCTTCTGGCTGGACTTCCATCATGTGCAATCAGACCTTTGCAAATAATTCAGGACGCAGCAGCACATCTTTTTTCAATGAGCCAAAGAGAGCCCATGTCACACCGCTTCTCATCCATCTGCACTGGCTTCTAGTCATGGCTCACATCAAGTCATTGGTGCTTGCCTATAGAACAGCTATATGCATCTACCTCCCCTCCAGAAGCCTGCGGTCGGTAAAACCTAACTCCATCAGGACAACCATATCCCTTTCAGTTTTCATGAAACAATTGAAAACCCATCTCTTCCGTGAGCATTTAACTGCATCTTCATAAAAAAATACTTTTACTTTTTTCTATGCTCTCATTTACTATTTTGAACGATGACGGAAACCTCATGGCACTCCTCGTGTTTATTGCCATGTTATGGTAAATCGCTTGTTGTATTTCTCAACTGCAAGTTGTTTGGATAAAACTGTCTGCCAAATGAATAACTGTAAATGTAAATGTTCTGTTCATTACCAACTCTTGCCAACTGCCTAATGGAGCGTCACAAGTGTGACGGCTGGGAGTTTTGGGATAAACATCCTTATGGGAAACACAAACTAGATAATCTCTTGTTTTCTATACATTTTTAATTTTAGCATAACTAATTAGTGTATGTGCATCTGCATTATTTTGTCTGTGACATCATCATAAGCAGACGTCTTTAGTGTTATAAACATACAGTAGTAGCTTAGTTTTTATACCTTTTTTTTTTACCACTTTTTACTTATAATAAATCGTACAGTGCATGGCAGTAAACCCTACTACCTGTGATGACTGTAATGACAATCAACATGAAAGATGATGTTCAAATTTGTGTTTGTGTGTTTATAGTGTGGATCATGGAGGACAAATCATGATGACAGCAGGACTACGAAAGTGTAGGTCTACAAACCCTTATGCTCAACCTCACCTATCTCTAATGGTTGTTGTGCTATAGATGTTTCTCTCTTCTTATTTTCAGATTCCTGTGATCTCACATTGGATCCAAACACAGCACACAGCCAATTCATACACAAACCACACACAAACAACCATGATACACAAACCACCGGGTGCGTAAATTATACTGTTTATCCAGAATGTGACTAATAGTTAAATTCAATATCTGAAATAATGTGATGTTAGATCTTCTAATCATAATAATTCCTCTATGTCTAATTTAGTTGGAAGGCTAAGATTTTCTGGATCTAATTTATTAGTTTATATTTAATTTTGTACCTTGTTTGTAAATCAAAAATATCTCTCTTTCATTCTGTCTTCAGGTCCTCAAACCATCTGGGCTCAATATTCACCCTTTGCTGAAGTGTCAGGCTTGTGTTCATATAGCTGATCCAGATCAGTGGGTTCAGATTGAGCCGTCAGTCTGTACAGATGAAGGAGAGTCAAAGTTCATGTTCAGCACTCGACCAGGCCGTTACGAGTGTGTCAGGACCAGGATGAGATGGGTCTGTGATTGTGACATCACTCTTAAGTATCAAACTGTAGACGGTCAGTTCCTCAACGCAGAGCTGGAGAGGCTGCAGTGCAAACGAATCGCTCCAGTGATGGACGTGACGGTGATCTCAGGGAAACTGGAGGAAGTTCATCTGCCACATTACATCTGTTTAGGAGAGTCTGAAGCTTCCCTCAGAGATGCTGTGCAAGTTCTCAGTGTAGAAGACGAAGGAATAACTGTAGAACCTGTTCAGCTGACACGATTCCATGCCAAGATAGTCCAACCATCCTTCTCTATTAAAACAATCATTATAAGATGGATAATGGGATGGGACGAACACTGCGATCTTCTTCTCTATATGCGCTCTAGAGTTCCTCTCATTCTACATGTCTACTTATTTCCATTTGATGCTCGTGCAAAAGAAAAGGTTGAGAAGATTGAAAAGTCAAGTTATTCGATCATGCACCCCAGACCTGACAGGCCATTTCGAATGAAAACGCCACACATTCTTGATGTTCCTGGTGCCTCTGTCCATCCCAAAGAAGGGATCACACTCAGAAGAGAAACTGACCCAAACTTCTTCAAGATCAAGACATGTCTGGAGAACGATCTTCAAATGACTCTTACCAGAGGACAGGGTAAGGAGGAGGTCTGGACTGCAACAATTGAGAAAGATGAACTTGATCAGATTCATCCACAGAGAGACGAGTCACGTCTGAAGAGTGAGGCAGATAAAGCAAGATATTTTAATGACCACTGGCCAGATCTCATTCAGAGAGTTACAAATGTCCAGATCATTGCAGATAAACTGCTTCAGCAGCAACTAATCCATGAGGAACAATATTCAGAAATCACACAGAGTTTAACCAGTCAGGACGGCATGAGAAAGATCTGTGAGATTATACGTAAGCATGACGACACTATGAAAGCTAAATTCATCTCAATTCTTCGGGAAGAGAAGCTTTACCACTTTTGAACATTGGTCTGATTCTACACTTTGAGCTCAGTGATCAACTCAGACTGAAGTATACTCTAGTGAGGATACAAGAAAAATACTGAATTATATAAAGTAAAGTATACTTATTTTAAAATATTAAGTCATAGTAACATTACAAATAAGTATGACAATTGTTTTTTGGATGTCTAAATAAAAGGACGTATAAGTACAGGAAAGGTGAAATTAGTTCAATGTATACCCACATTTATACTTGTATTTTTCTAACTGTGTATTTCAACTTGTTGGTGAATTTCTGGTGTACATTTTTTTCTTGGTTAAAGATTAGCCATAAACTATCAAATTTAGCATTTTACCCAAAATGTCACAAAGTTTGGTGAACAGCAATCAGGGAACAACATATTAATTATTTTCTTGCAACTTTTGATGGTTGGAATATAGAATAATCATGTCAGGTTTAATTCAGCTAATAAAGGGTTCTAATAAAGGGTAAATAAAGATTGCATTCAATATTTTGTTGTTTAAGAATTTAACATTTGGGGGGAAAAAATTAAGTTTTTGATATTTCCCTGAATGGAAATTTTCTGAATGGTAGACCTTCTGAATAATGTGCAGTAATATAAGAATGTTGTGGTAGTCTAAATATTATGTAGGTGGGCTACTGTGTTTAATCTATGTATGATTCATCTGTCCTCATACCATGGGCATCGGAACCATTGTATATGGGTGGGACAAGACCCTCCCATTTTTTAAGACCAATAATATTGGACCCATCACTTTTATTCTCCACTCACTTCTAATTCAGTGCATATGTCTGTTCACTTTTCAGAGCGCCGTCAGGCAAATCCATTCCACTTGAGGAATGCCCTAATAAATTAAACTCCATTCCGTGTTTTAGCTACAGACTTGACCATGCTGCTGCTTCCTCAAATCCATTCCACTTGGCTCATTCAGAATCCATATAAATTAATCTGCATTTCATTTTTTCACTACTCACACCTGCTGCACTCCCACATCCCAGACACAGCAAGCTAAACAAAAGCATCTTAGCATAGCTGCTGCTCAGGTCTCAAGCCCATGCCCCTTTAATCACAACACTAAAATGCCCTTTCAGTTCTGTGCTAGGTGTCTTTCAGTCTAGGTGCCCCTAAATCGTGATTTCAACCAAGGGGGTCCACCCCCTTAACCCCACTCCCCCACTCCCTGTACCGCAATTTCTCTTCTCTCAGATTTTTCCCTTGCCCCTCTAGAGGTCTGTGCATGCCACTGATGAGGTCCATATGTTCAATACAATGATTGTGAGTATCAATACAGTCCTTAAGTTGAGTGTTATTAATCACAAGTGGAGGCGATTAGAGGTCTGAGAAGAGTGATCAGAGAGTCAGAGAGAATTTTGTCAATTCAAATAAATTGAACAAATGACAATGGGTAAAAAGTAGAAAAATAAGTTGACAAATTTCAAAATTTGATACTGATTTTTTTTTACAGTGTAGGTGCACTTCTTCTATTTGACCAGCAGATGAGAGCAGAAGAAAGATAGACATAAGCAAAAATATTCAATGCTTATTTAAAGCAGAATGTCATTTTGACCCCCCTCTACAAAATACTCAGTAAATATTTGTCCATCGCATTTAATATTTTGGCTTTCATCAGTATATGTGTCTATCTTTCTCCAGAAAAAAATTTAAAATATTAGCAAAATCAAAGATTTGAGCTGGGGAAGTTTTTGAAATTTGGTTGATCCCAGCAGGCACACAATAATGTCATAAGACGTTGATACTTGGTTAAATTTTGGTTGCGACGTCGGGTGACCAAAATTCAATGTAAATTCAACGTCTAATGTCAATGTTAAATTGATGTCCACCGACGTCAGCTGACGTTGATATTTTGTTGTTTTTAGGTTGTGTAACCAAAATCCAATGTTAAGTCAACGTCAAACTGACATCAAATATTGACGTCAACCCGATTTTCATTTTCAACCAAAATGCAACGTCAAACTGACGTTACATAGACGTTCGGTGCCTGCTGGAATATAACACGGAATGACCATATTACAGTAATCTGCAGACAGTGCAAAAAAACAGGCTTTCTGAAGTGTTTTATATGGAGTTGGTCAACAACACCCTCGGAGTACTCAAATTAGTAAACAAACTAATTAAGACAGCAGGTATGACGGCTAAGGTTGCACATTTTAGTCTGTGTTTATTTCCAAATTTAATCAACCATCATCAAGCACAGGGTTTCTCAACCCTGGTCTTGGGCGCCCTTCAACACTGCACATTTTAGCTGCGTCCCAATTTAAAAGCTGTGTCCGAAATCGCTCACTCTTTCACTCATTCACTAATCCCTATATAGTGTGTGGCAGTTGAGTGGTCTATATCAAAAAGGAATGAGCGAAATAAGTGAACGGATTCGGACGGTGACGTATACACTGCTCGTGAGACTTGGAGCTGTTGCAAAAACATCTTCGGCACATATGTACTTTTATATTACATGTAAATAATATTAATAGCAATAACACTCAAAATTACTTTATTGTAATTATACATACCTCCGCGTCAGCTTTGTGGTTTCATTGATGGTATATTATTAATTTGTTTTGTAATGCTTTTATGTTCATATCATACTATTAAAATACTGAGAACAAAAATAAACACACATTAACACGTTCATAATTTGATGTATTTAGTATCTTGACACTCTCCCGAGCAGCATTTTGAGCTCAGATAAGATAGTGGTCGTAGAGTTCCCTCAGGCGACCGTTAATTTTATATCAGAATGAATACGCTACCTACAGGTGATTAACAAACATTTTTAAATTATCCACCAAATTATCATCATTTTTGTAAGTTAACAACGATGCCACCTCAGTAAATTTGTAAAATATTAAACTGAGTGATTGCCTACACAACATATTTTAATATAATGTATGAAATAAACGTTAAAGCAGAAATAAGAAAGATGTAAAGGCCATCTCTCATTCAAACTCGCTCGCTCCCGCTCTCTCTTCCAGCTCGCCAGTTCTCCGCATTGGATTGTGGGAAATAATGCTTCAGCAACAGCACTACAAATGGCTGACACCCGATATAGTGCACTATATAGTGGATAGGGAGGGGTTTCGGACATAGCTAAAGGCTGCGTAATTCGAACAGCACATTTGAAGGCTGATTGCATCACTGCAGCGCAACGAAGGCTGCCGCAATTCTAGTGCGACTTCAAATGCGCCCTCTGTTTCACAGGCAAATGAAGGATACATCAGATGGATCCTTCGCAATAAATATGTTAAATATAAGAACAAATCAATTTTCTATACTAATTGGGTTAAAAATGGTATTCTAATGGTCTCACAGTTGATAAATAATGAAGGATATTTACTTACATATACTGAATTTTTAGAGAAATTTGGTATTCCAATACCTCCGCGTGAATATAGTATTGTAATTGATGCAATACCAGCAGGATTTGTGAGGCTTTTAAAGGGATTTAGTGAATCTAAGCAATCAACATTTAAAAAAAGAGATCTTATTAAACGGTATTGATATCAAAGATAGAAAATGTAATAATACATTTTTTTAGATGTTTGATTCACTGCCCTGCAACACTTCGATGTACTTCTGGAATAACCATTTTGAGAATATCAACTGGAGATTGATTTGGACTTGTTGCTACCCTACTGAAATGATGGTCAATGCTCCTTAACTGATGTTTCCGAAATGTTTAATCCGTTGACATTCAAGTAGACACTGTAAGAACTACGAACACACAAAACAAAAACCGAAACAAACAATACATAAACCAAATACGAAACCGGACATTACATTACACACCATACAATGTACAAAATCATTTACCTTATTACCCTTTTCAGTGAGATGCACACACACACCCAAATGGCGGAAATGGGTCGCGATTTATACAGTCCGATTTGCGCGTTAAGTTCATTTCAAAATAAAAGTCATTTAGCTGCTCCGTACAAAAGGGTCAATGCAACGCAATGCAGACTTCATATATTCGGTTTAACAAATTGGCAGTCCTTTACACTCCCACCAAATCATGAGTCACAATACACGAATGATTTCAAAAATACCACGACCCACAATAAAATGCATATAAAAATACATAGTTAAGAAAACAACAAAGAAAAAACAAACAAAAAAAGGAACAAGCCTCCAACAGTAAAACCAACTTCTGGACTGGACATTCAATTACGGAAAGCTTACTAAGACTCTCCAGATTTCCCCAAAATTTGTATCGCCAAGATGAACCCGAACTCTCCTCACAAGCCCATCTGAATCTATGGTAGTTTCTACAACCCTACCTAAAGACCATTTATGCCTGGGTAGATCATTGTCCTTGATGATCACTATATCCCCTACTAACGGATTTCTCCTAGGGGTATGCCAGCACTGTCTAACAGCAATATTAGAAAGATATTCTTTGCGCCAGCTACTCCAAAATTGTTCAGCAAGATATTGGACATGGCGCCTTTTCCTGGCATATAGATATCTAGTGAACTTCCCTGGAGGGGGTAAAGCAATAGTGGATTTCATTGTAAGAAAATGATTTGGCGTTATTGGTTCAAGACTATTTGGATCACTTAAATTGTCGACAATGAGTGGACGACTGTTTACAATTGACATTGCTTCATAAAAGAATGCTCTTAGAGAGGAATCATCAATTCGTTCTGAAGCCATCAAAAGTGTAGACTGAAGAACACTTCTAACAGTCCTAATCTGTCATTCCCATACACCTCCTGTATGACTTGCACCTGGTGCGTTCAAGACAAAGTCACACTGATTCTCAGCTAAGAAATAATTCAGCTTCTCAATGTCAAGTTCCTTGAGGGCTTTAGTTAACTCATTCTTTGCACCCACAAAGTTACTTCCTTGATCAGATTTAATCTGCCGAACTGCTCCACGTAAGGCAATAAAGCAACATAAGCCATTAACGAAAGAATCTGTTAACAAAGAACCAAGCATCTCAATGTGAATGGCACGGGAAGAAAGACAGGTAAAGATCAATCCATATCTTTTATACACCTTTCGTCCTGGTTTCACAGAAAATGGACCGAAACAGTCCATACCACAGTAAGTGAATGGGGGCGAGGGATTCACTCTCTCTGAAGGCAAGTAAGCCATCCTTTGCTCTTCCATTGGTCACCTATGTTTTCTACAGGTGACACAATTACGCACATAAGATGCTACAGCATGATTAATGCCAGGGATCCAAAAACCCTTTGAACGGATTTCATTGATGGTAAACCCTTTACCTTGATGCTTAACTCTTTCATGGCAATCAGCTATGATCAACCTTGTAATATGATGGTTTTTGGGAATAATTCCGGGATGTTTAAGTGAATGGCAAAGAGAAGAGTTACCAAGTCGTCCTCCAACCTGAAGCACACCGTCAGTCAAGAAATGGGTCAAGGCTGTACAGTTCATTGTGAGATGACAACTGGGCACCTTTACTTAACACTTTACGTTCGGTGTGAAACACATGGTTTTGTAGAAGTTTGACTATTAGGCACTCTGCACTTTCTCTCTCCTCAACTGTAGAAAGACTGCTTGATTTATCCTTGTTAATTTGTTGTTGAATGCGTGCAATTGCTCTGACCACATGAGACCAAGATGAAAACTTGCACAGGCGATTTACAATAGTTCCCTGCTCCACTGCCTTTGTGTTAAATGTTTGAAAACTTCTGACTTCAGAGTCACTTAGTTGTAATTCTGGAACTTCACTAGATGGGAGGGCAATTTCCTTATTCCACAAGAACACTGGCCCCGTGAACCAGTTAGACGAGATCAGTTCATCCACGATGAGACCTCTTGAGACATCTTTTGTTGGAACATATCTCCATTGCTGCGGCACAGTGCTTAAATGAATCTTTTGTACTCTGTTAGCAACAAACGTGTGGAATCGTCTGGCCTCATTATTGATGTATCCCAGAACAACCTTAGAGTCGGTCCAGAAAAATTCGGTAATGTCTGTATATTGAAGCTCTTCTTTAAGGATTCTACTGACACTTACTGAAACAACTGCAGCTGTTAACTCCAACCTCGTAATAGTTGTAATCTTTATCGGGGACACACAAGACTTTGCCATTGCAAGAGCAACATGAACATCTTCTCTTTCATTTTTTTATCTCAGATATGAGCACTGCCCGTACCCACTAGAACTAGCATCCGAAAAATGATGCAGCTCCACTTCTTTCACCCTTCCAAACACAGAAGGAACATATGTGTGGAGAAGAGTAACTTTCAAGTTGTTCAGATCCCTTTTCCAGCGCTCCCACCTTGGCTGCAACTCATAACTCAGTGTGTCATCCTAACCTGTACCCTGTCTACATACTTCCTGAAGTATCTTCTTTCCACGAAGGATGAATGGAGCTAAAAAACCTAATGGGTCATACAATGATGCAATCGTAGACAAGATTCCACGTCGAGTTGCTGGCTGCTCCTTGAGACAAACATCAAACTTAAAACAGTCAAGTTCCACATTCCACTGAATTCCTAGTGTTCACTCTATCAAGGAATCGTCAAACGAAAGATCATTTTCTTTTATATCATTAGCACGTTCTGAAGGAGGGATACTTTCCAAGACAGCTTTATCATTACACACACATTTTTGAAGTCTAAGACCACCAATATCACAAAGTTCTCGAGCTTCTCGAGCAAGCTGAATTGCATCCTCTGTTGTCTGTACACTTGTAACACCATCATCTACATAAAAGTTATTCACTACAAAGTCAAAGCCCAAAGGATACTGATCTTTATTAATGAATGAAGGATTTCGAAGGGTACAACTGATGGACACTTCGGGCTCCCATGATCCTTTGCGCAGATTCTTTGCATGATGACGGTGGCTCCGTGTTAGCACGTGATGACGACTTTCAAGAAACAGTTGTTTGGTCCCCTACACCCTTCAAACCTTCGAAGCTCTCACTCCGGAGGGTAAACCCTTTGAAGGGATTAGGGATGAGCCCTTCCGAATGGAACGCAAGGCATATCAATCAGAACACAGTTCATACACGTAGCTCTCTTCTAACGAGCTGTTTATCTGAATCAGGTGTGTTAAACAAGACAGACATGCAAAATATGCAGAGCGGGGAGGCGCGAGGACTGGAATTGAAAACCCCTACACCCTACACCCTTCAACCCTTCGAAGCTCTCACTCCGGAGGGTAAACCCTTTGAAGGGATTAGGGATGAGCCCTTCCGAATGGAACGCAAGGCATATCAATCAGAACACAGTTCATACACGTAGCTCTCTTCTAACGAGCTGTTTATCTGAATCAGGTGTGTTAAACAAGACAGACATGCAAAATATGCAGAGCGGGGAGGCGCGAGGACTGGAATTGAAAACCACTGACATAGAGCTTGCATCCGCTCTCTACCCCCTGCATGTTCAACAGCGACCACACCCCATTCTGCAGCCAATCACAGGCTTAAACATTCAACAGCACATTACAGTTTACTATCAACTGAAGTTGGAAATTTCCTAAAACTAACAAAGCGTTCTTGTAATCTAAACAGCAAAAACACTTGCTCTTTTTTGTGAACAAACACCAATGAGCACTAGATGTATGTGTGTTAAGAACTGTTAATAAATTAGCTATGTGACATGTTCAAAGAAGCCTGGCTTCATATTGCTACCTGAAATACAACAGAGTAACTGTCTATGTTTTTATTAACAAGACTGCGCAATGATAGAGGAGAGGTCAGAAAAAAGATGGGACTAAATGATAAAGTTATAAAGTTGCATATATATATATATATATATATATATATATATATATATTAACAATAGATACAAAACATGATGTAAAATTTTGACTTTAGTTTACTAATAAATGGGAATATCTGTTTAAAAAATGTTGTTGATTTACCATATAAAGTGTTGTATTTATAGGGAAAGTTTTCAGTTTATGAGCAGTTGAGCTGAATTCCTCATTTATTGTTTCTGATGTCTATTGTGGAGAAAAATCTACAACAACACATAATGCCTTTCATTGCTGCAATTTATTGAAGTGTATTGTTGATTTGTTTCCGCTGTAAATTTAAAAAAAAGTGACCCAAAACAAAAAAATAAATAAATAATTGATGAGAGTACACAACACAACAGATTTACTAAGTTACACAGTTTACAGAGGAAAGGAAACCCTTAAACCTTAATTTGATTGATTTGTATTTTGTTTTTGAGAAACACTGTAATGTTGCTTCAGAGGTCTAAGATACACGTCTGATCTTCATGATGATGGATTTCATACCAACAGTGAAACTGTTCTTCCAGGTCTTCCATATATTTCCAATGGCATAATGAGTGGAATCTTCACCCCATAAATACACACCATTGGGGTTTGCTGCGTGACACGTTTTGTACCAAAATCCCCCGAGATACTGTCTGGCACAGTTAGTTGCATTAGAGTCTTGATCCTTGTCAAAGGTAGAGAATTTCTGATTGCTGTGTTCGGTTAAAGAGTCGCCTGCAGAGATGAAGAGCATCAGTTTTGGCACTAACATAATTTGTAACAGGCTCTCGTTCTTCATTATTTAATGTATATTTGAAAAATGTAAACATTTTATGTAATGTTATTTTGAAGAATGAGACAAATATATAAAATTTACGATGTGGACATGAAGAATATTTCACTGAAATGTGACGTCAAGAAAAAACAATCAAAAGTATATGAACAAGTGTGCATTTACTCAATTGATAATTGTGAAGAAATGAGTATGAATGACAGTGTCCTACCTGCTCCTCCAGCCTTGAATCCTGAAACATGCAGTTTATACCCATCAGCTTCAGGACCCACAGAGAAGGATGAGAACAGAGCAAAATCTTTCCTTCCAAGAAAGTCTTCCAGATCCACTCTCAGCATGTACTTACTGTTGCGTGTCAGCTGGTACATGTTCTCCAGCCCTGATCATACACACACATGAAGAACACGTTCAACCAAACACTGGACATGAACATCCACACAAACACACACATGAAGAACACGTTCAACCAAACACTGGACATGAACATCCACACAAACACACACATGAAGAACACGTTCAACCAAACACTGGACATGAACATCCACACAAACACACACATGAAGAACACGTTCAACCAAACACTGGACATGAACATCCACACAAACACACACATGAAGAACACGTTCAGCCAAACACTGGACATGAACGTCCACACAAACACACACATGAAGAACACGTTCAACCAAACGCTGGACATGAACATCCACACAAACACACACATGAAGAACACGTTCAACCAAACGCTGGACATGAACATCCACACAAACACACACATGAAGAACACGTTCAACCAAACGCTGGACATGAACATCCACACAAACACACACATGAAGAACACGTTCAACCAAACGCTGGACATGAACATCCACACAAACACACACATGAAGAACACGTTCAACCAAACGCTGGACATGAACATCCACACAAACACACACATGAAGAACACGTTCAACCAAACGCTGGACATGAACATCCACACAAACACACACATGAAGAACACGTTCAACCGAACACTGGCCATGAACATCCACACAAACACACAGATGAAGAACACGCTCAACCAAACACTGGACATGAACATCCACACAAACACACACATGAAGAACACGTTCAACCAAACACTGGACATGAACATCCACACAAACACACACATGAAGAACACGTTCAACCAAACACTGGACATGAACATCCACACAAACACACACATGAAGAACACGTTCAACCAAACACTGGACATGAACATCCACACAAACACACACATGAAGAACACGTTCAACCAAACACTGGACATGAACATCCACACAAACACACACATGAAGAACACGTTCAACCAAACACTGGACATGAACATCCACACAAACACACACATGAAGAACACGTTCAACCAAAGCTGGACATTAACATCCACACAAACACACATGAAGAACTTTTCATGTCTGTTTGGTGTCATTTCATATATTCCAGGTATGATGTACTAATGTTCTTATGATGTTATATTTTCTATGTTCAGAAAACAACAGAAAAAGAAATTGAGCTCTTAATTATGGAAAAACGGATTTATTGTTTGTTGAACTGGTAAATGAGTCGCATGAAAGCCGTTGAGGAGAATGTTATGAGACCGGATGAGCTGTATTTCATGTCTGTTTGGTGTCATTTCATATATTCCAGTAAATGCGATGAGTGAGCTCAGCCTACGACTCCGTGTTGTCCTTTCCGGAAGGGTCGAAAGAAAGAACCAGAAAAGTAGAGTTACAATGGTGCCGTGATTCCCGTTTGTGATCAACGCAAAGCCGATCTCCGGGGGGACGACAAGGCCTACAGTGGAGAGCAGCGTGGACGTCGCGTTCTTCATTCGGTCGAGTTGTGGTTGCCAGATTCTCCAGTTAAAGACACTTTTTTCGGGGGGACTTTCGAAAAAGAAAACGTTGGACTACAGATAAGTGAAGAGAAGACTGATTGATTAATCTGACTTTTGAGTTTAGCTTAGAACGTTCTGAGTATTTTACATTTGAAAAAAATGGCTGAGGGTGGTGCAGATAATTCTTTTCTTGGGATTGGACGGGGGAAATATCTGATGCAGTTTTCTGATAACAAGCCAGGGTTGGGTGAATTTGACTGTAAGACTGACATTCATGCTGGTAATGGGAGAAATTATATGGCTCATGGTGTACATAAGACTCTCCCTCTTACTTCTACTCCGAAGCCATGTAATGTGGAAAGTTCTAGTGATCAAGATGTCAGTGAATTAGGTGCTTTAGTTAAAGAATTGGGCCGACAAATTGGTGACTCAGTCACAGCCAAACTTTTGTCAGTGGGTGAATTTGCCAGAACCAATGATGGTAGTAACACCACAGGCTCTCAATGTGCTAATCTTGATTTGTCACAGTTGAATGTCGTTCTGAAATCAGATGAAAAAGTCCCACCAGTGTTTAGGGGGGATGGTTTAGGTAGGTATGACATTCAAGAACAGGTTGAGATGATGCAAGTTTACCTGCAGAAGAGAAATGTCAAAATTACTGAACAGGCTGATGAGATTATTAGTCATCTAATGGGAAGGGCCAAAGACATTGTGAAAGTAGCCCTACGCAGCAACCCTGCGCTTGACTGCACAAATCACCCTGAGATTATATACAGCATACTTAAGCAACACTTCAGTGAAGCGTCCTGCTCCAGCATGCCACTCACAGACTTTTACAGCACATTGCCCAAACATGGCGAAAATCCTGTTGACTACTGGCTTCGCCTTAATAAAGCAGCAGAAGCTAAGTCAGTAGCAAAGAAGCTCTGGGATAACTACTTTTGCTACTATGGTTTCCCGGACCGCATTCATTCTGATCAGGGGGCCAATTTTTGTAGTGAGCTCATTAGGCATTTGTTTGATTTCTCTGGTGTTAAGAAGTCACAAACGACACCATATCATCCTATGGGCAATGGAATCACAGAAAGATTTAATTGAACATTGGGCAACATGATCAGAGCCCTTGAACCACGACCAAAGCAAGATTGGCCTCGGATGCTCCATACATTAACATTCGTGTACAACTGCACAGTTCACGAGACTACGGGGTACCCTCCCTTCTATCTAATGTTCGGTCGCACCCCGAGACTGCCGATTGATGTTGTTTTCAAGAGCGTACTATGGAATGATTCGAACGACTCTCTTCCCAAGTACGTAGAGTCCCTGAGCAAGGATTTGAGGGATGCTCTTGCTGTTGCGGAGTCTAACACTTCAAAAGAACAGTCTCATCAAGCCCACATGTACAATCGCAAAAATAAGGGTGTGAAAATTGAAGTTGGTGACAGGGTCCTATTAGCCAATAAAAGTGAACGCGGCAAGCGCAAACTTTCAGACAAGTGGGAAAATGTGGTATATACTGTGGTTGATCGTGATCCTAAAATCCACATTTACAAGATTAAACACCCTGTATCTGGTCAGTTAAAGGTGGTACACAGAAACCTTTTGTGTGTAAATTTCCTCCCTTTGAGTAACATTGTGGGAAAAAATGATGACGAGAGTGTATTTTCTGTAAATTATGACGTTTCTGATAACTGTTCTGTATCCTCTGATGACTCTGTACCTGATGGTGAAGGCCCAGTAGTGGCTGACAATGATCCGCAGACGGTTGAGTCAGGTAATGCTCACGACTCCGCTGCAGTTGTTGATGTTCCATCACAAAGTGTGATCTCTGGAAATGTTTCTCCAGATCACCCGGTCTGTCAGGGAAGTCCTGAAGAAAGTAATGTCTGTAATTCTGACCCTGATGTTGATGGTACTGAGTTACCGGGTCGCAGGTCAAAGTTTGGCAGATTGTTGAAGCCAGTGAATCGCCTTATTTCTTCTATGAACACTTTATTTCAAAACAGAAAGCAAACTCTGGGTAAATGGTCTATTTCAGTCCTTAGTCTGAAGTATTGAAGTATTAAATTCAGTGTATGATGTCAATATGTGTGTGTAGGAATTGCTAAGATGAAATGTAAAAGGCACTTACTTCATTTGAGTCATGATCAAGGAGGAGTGATATGCGCAGCACTTTTTCCTGTCAGTTCTTTATATGAACAGTTGTTACTGATCAAAAGCATTATGCTAAGAATGGCAATTCCAGTTTGTGTCATTCATTCTGATCAGGGGGCCAATTTTTGTAGTGAGCTCATTAGGCATTTGCTTGATTTTTCTGGTGTTAAGAAGTCACAAACGACACCATATCATCCTATGGGCAACGGAATCACAGAAAGATTTAATCGAACATTGGGAAACATGATTAGAGCCCTTGAACCACGACCAAAGCAAGATTGGCCTCGGATGCTCCATACATTAACATTTGTGTACAACTGCACAGTGCACGAGACTACGGGGTACCCTCCCTTCTATCTAATGTTCGGTCGCACCCCGAGACTGCCAATTGATGTTGTTTTCAAGAGCGTACTATGGAATGATTCGAACGACTCTCTTCCCAAGTACGTAGAGTCCCTGAGCAAGGATTTGAGGGATGCTCTTGCTGTTGCGGAGTCTAACACTTCAAAAGAACAGTCTCATCAAGCCCACATGTACAATCGCAAAAATAAGGGTGTGAAAATTGAAGTTGGTGACAGGGTCCTATTAGCCAATAAAAGTGAACGCGGCAAGCGCAAACTTTCAGACAAGTGGGAAAATGTGGTATATACTGTGGTTGATCGTGATCCTAAAACCCACATTTACAAGATTAAACACCCTGTATCTGGTCAGTTAAAGGTGGTACACAGAAACCTTTTGTGTGTAAATTTCCTCCCTTTGAGTAACATTGTGGAAAAAAATGATGACGAGAGTGTATTTTCTGTAAATTATGACGTTTCTGATAACTGTTCTGTATCCTCTGATGACTCTGTACCTGATGGTGAAGGCCCAGTAGTGGCTGACAATGATCCGCAGACGGTTGAGTCAGGTAATGCTCACGACTCCGCTGCAGTTGTTGATGTTCCATCACAAAGTGTGGTCTCTGGAAATGTTTCTCCAGATCACTAATACGTTCAACCAAACACTGGACATGAACATCCACACAAACACACACGTGAAGAACACGTTCAACCAAACACTGGAAATGAACATCCACACAAACGCACACACACTGTGAGATCTTACCCAGCCAGTATTCACTCTCCACATTTCCAAATCCTCTCTTGTAGTGATTCCACGGCTGATAGAAATTCACACTGCCGTCCACTCTCCTCTGAATCACCTGTGATGGGTTTATATAGAATATATGATTCATAATGAATATTCTGATGTGTGTTTATTGTTTAATGATCTAAAATCACATTCATACCGTCCATCCTCCTTTGTCTTCATCGTTCCCATCTGAGATCATCTGACAATAAACCCAGACAGGAACGTCATCTGTTGGATAGATGGGATAAATCCCACTGATTTTTTGTCCTGACTTATAGATGTCAGAGCAGTCGAATGGCATGAATTTACAGTCATTGCCCAATACAACTGGAAGAAGAGCCACCAAAAACAACATAATCTACAGAGACAGAGAGAAAGAGATTAACTTCACACTGAAATGAAGCTGCAAACATCTTTAGGAATGTAGAGTTATTGATGAACTTACTGCCACTTCTCAGGCTTTCCTCAGTAGATCACAACAGAGATCTGTTTTACCTAGACAAAAATAACAAACGCTTGTCTGAAATTTAAAATTTATGAATGTTCTGTAAAGTAACTCACCATTTGTGTTGTTCTGTTTGAAACAAACACTCCTTATATATCTGTCAGATTTTCAGGCTCCTCCTCTGCATCTTTAAATGTCCACTATGAAGCTCTAGATGTCTAGCTACCTGATCATATTATCTGTAATTTATGTTTAGAGAAAGAGAGAGAGAGAGATTCAAAATTAAATATTGGATTCTGTATTTAGCCTCAGTGCAAATAACCCATCCTGCTGGCAAAGGTTATTTACAAACTAACTCGCACACCATCGCTTATAACAAAGACCAAAACGGCCACAACAATTTTTTTATATTATTTAATTTAATTATATTTAAAGTGTACATTGCCTCTGACACACTCCTCTGACACAGCCTGACTACTTGCACTCAGATGATCTTGATATATTTTGATAGCAAACCCAGCTAACAAAATATGTCCTCTGAACGTTCAAAATGTCCAGATTTTTTAATGTTTTAAAAGCGTTTTTCTCTAGGTTATATGAACGATAAGGAAACTTTCCATGTTATCATTCTGCAAACATTATGCGAATGTTACTCTCGAATGGGAACGTTCTGAAAGAAGCAGCAATAGTCCATCCAAAACATTTGTGCTAATGTATTGAGTACATTAGTAAATACCAGAGAATTTGGAACAAACATTCTGTTCATGTTCATTCTGTTCATGAAAAAAGGTCAAGTAAGTGAATTGTGGTTTAGGAGCAGCTGGCCTGAGTTTGAATATATTCCTATAATTTATTAGCTCAGAGTCATTCATTTTAATCTAGAATTAAGAACATATTAGAAAAGTGGAAGGAAATTTAGGGGTATTTAATAGGCCTATAATAGAAATTGGATGTGGTGTCCTCACATTGAATAGATTGACTGAACCTTGACCCATGTAACTCAAAGTAAAACGTTCCAGAATAAAATGTCCATGAATGTAAATAATGTTTTTTGTGCTGACGTTTCGAGAACATTAATAAATACCAAATAACTTTGAACAAACATACTGGAAGAATGTTTGCTCACAACTTTGAAAGAATGTTCCCTGTTAGCTGTGCTTTAATATTTCACTCTGTTGTGTAACAATTACCTTTTTTTTGTTTTCACCTGTACATTTGATTTTGAACATGTTGTGTGTATTTTGAGAGGGAAACATGGATCTAGTTATTACTTAATCAGTAGCACAGTAAGGCATCTGATGAAAAGCACAGGCAGGCCTGCGATGTTCTTCTGAAACACATCCTGGTTTAAAAGCATCACTCTATTACTCTGATTATGCCACCAAATTAAAGTCATGACATGCATAACCAAATTTCCCTTGATCTATTGATACAGAAGAGGTCTTTGTATGGTTAATGCATCCTGCAAGTTTCATAACCTAAAATGTCCTCATCATCAATAAGAAAGCATTTAATAACCCTCAGCTCGTTTTAGATCCTGTGGGACAAGAAGTCTTAAAGGAGCTGCCCCTTAAAAACAACCTGTTTCTGAGAGAAGTTCAGAATGAGGGTTGAAAATTATCATTTCCCACATATTTGTTGCTGTTGTTGTTTTGTGCAAAAAACTTTATTATCATTATAAGTAAACCTCAAGGAACATTAAAATAATAAAACAATCCATGTCATGACCCCTTTCAAGAAAGAAAAGTCAAAAGAAGTAAAAATGTTATTTTCATTGCTGTTTAGATGTTTAGTCATGTTGTGATCAAGGGAAGGTTCACAGTAAATTCTGTAGAAATAATAGTTTGTTCTCGTTGTATGTTTTTGAGTAAGTGCTGTTTGTCCTCAATGGGTTTTGGTCTTGAACGTGTTCTAGTGAAAAGCTAAAGAGCTAATTACAGATCACATGACCTCCAGCTTTGTGTGTGAATGTGTCAGAACTGAAATGATTCTTCTATTGGTTTTTGGGACGTCAACAGCTCAAAGTAATCCATTTTGCTTTCAGAGAAAACATCAAATGTTTTTGTCAAGAGTACACATATATAAAAACAAATAAAGGACTATGTAGACACAAATACTGACAGTGTTGTGAAATATCAGTCTGTTTACCACTCAAACATCAAAACTACTGAAGAGCAAACCACTGAGGATGTTTTAATTTGAACATGTCATGTCATCTGCAAGGAAAACATGAATCCAAGAAACATGTTTGTTAAACAGTACATTGTAAATTAAGATGAATTTCCCTAAAGACACAAAAGCCAGCTGAGGGGAAACACAGACTTCCTACAAGAACATGTTGTCATATCAACTTTATATCACATCTAAAATACATTTAGTGTGATTGCATCTTGTTATACTGCATCTGTTTGAATTTCCTCCTAGTTGCCAGCACATATTCCCATCTCTGTCCACTAACTCATCCTGGTTATGTCAAGCCAAGACATGGCTGGCCTGGAAGATAAGTAAAACAATTTCTAAATGATCACTTTTAACCAGAAAACATTCGGCCAGTGATGGAGTTTGCATTTCCAGTATAAGCTGCAGTGAAAAGAATATCAAATATGTTCAAGTCCATTGTATTGCCAGTTCTTCTCTTCACTTTTATTGTAATCAGAAATTAAGCTAAATTGTTGACAACAATTTAAACGGTCAACAAGAACACTGAATTTTGGCAAATAAGAATAGTATTTTTTGTACTATTTTGTATTTATTATTAATATTAGTGTTTTTATCACCACAATATCTGAATAATTTTTGTTCAGTGCTGACACAAAATAAAATTGTCAAATTAAAATTGTGAAATTGTCTTCATTATAAATGATTGTACTGCATAATTAATACACATTACTATGAGCATTACTATGTCGTGAAAATGAGAAAAGGTTGATGTTATGACATATTAAGTCAAAATGTTAGACAGGTCATAATTATGCCATAAAAGATGAAATTATCGAAGTTAAGCCATACTAATTTATAATTACAACATAGTCCTACTAAGTAATATATGATTAAAAAGGTGAAATTATGACTTTTTACGTCCTACCTATGATTTTTATGTCATACGTTTGTGAAGTTGTGTTATAATTATGACTGATTATATAATTTTGACTTATCTCATAATTGACTTTTAAAGTCATAATTACACGTTTAAGACACAATTGACTTTTTAAGTCATAATTTAGACTTTTGCTCTGATAAATATGTGTCTTATCATTTTTACTTTATATTTCATAAATATGCCTTTTTTAATTTACAATTTTTATATTTTATCTCATAATCATAACTTAGTATAGGCTACCATATATGATCAGAATCAGAATCAGAATCAGAAAGAGCTTTATTGCCAAGTATGTTTGCACATACAAGGAATTTGTTATAGTGTCACAAGCTTCCAGTACACGGAGACAACAACAACACACAGATAATAAAAATGAGATGTGAATAAAATACACATGCATAAATATAAACCA